GCTGGGCTTCTCTGAGACGTGTCAAAAACAAACGTTGATATTTGGAAATACCAACACTTTGAGCCTGACGTTAATGTCACATTTAAATAGTCCAGCCTTTCTCAGACACTTCCTACATTCACCAAGAAAAGCCGACTGAAGTATAAGAAATACAAAATGCGGACTAAATGAAACTTCCAAGTGATATTAGACAATACAATAGAATGTTCTATACGTTCTAAAAGCTCTCTATTATATTATAACGTTCACAAACTATTTGGCACAGCTTTTTCAGATGAAGAAGTGAAAGTGGAGGCGACTGCCAAAGCAGAGCCAATCCTAGTGACCCATAACCCAGGAAGATCTTCTGTGTCTCCTACAAGAAGTACAACAATACAAGGAAACAATATAATACACACACATGCACATGCACACAAAAAGACACACACACACACAAAAAGACACACACACACATACACAAAGACACACATGGCTCATAAGGTCCAGCCTCTGTGACACTGTGAGTTTGGTTAAATGTGTTTAAAGACTGAAGACAATGAAAAGTGTGACACTTGTAGACACTGAGACACATGTGGACACAGTATGTTACACAACTGAGAACTTGATGCTTTCATCTGTCTCTGAGGAGGGGAGGGGAGAGGACTATGAGCCTTTGGGGGTCTGTAGTCAGTACAATGGGGGGAGGTTGGGTTCATGTTCCAGAATTTTATTAGAATTCCAGTTGGAGGGCGGGGCCTATATAACTCTATGGGAGATAGAGAAATTATTGGTTTGGGATTGGCTCCACCAACTTGTCACATTCATCTTTTGGCTCACACTCATTTCAGCTGACAGCACTCACATCTTTGAGTTCAAATAATGGCACCACATTCTGAAGCTTTTGAGAAAACATCATTTGACTTTAGTTTATTTCTCTTGACAGAGAAGACACTTTGTGTCAGTTTTTTTCTTGTGGATAGGCCCAGTAATTAGAAAGATATGAACCATAAACCAGGTCAACAAATCTGCATCAGACAGTTCCACAGCAAACTCCACCTGAGAATTCTGCCCTGTCTCCAGCTCTAGTGAAACTAGAGGGATTCTACAATGTGCTGATGTGAATGCAACCTAGAATCACTCACTAATATTGACCAAAAGAATGTGATTCAGTTCATGATGTCATGTCTGAGCAGGATCATCATTAAAAGAAGATCTGAGTTGTTTAAACTGTTTACATAAAATCAGACAGTACTTTTTCACACCAAGACCAAGATATCCTTGGTGAAAACAACACAATAGATGATCAGCACAGTTTGAAGTTGAGATATGGGTTCAAACAGTTGAGGTTAAGGCTAGAACTGAGGTTATGATTAGGCAAGTACAGACTATGAGACTATGGCTAAAGTCTGGATCAGTGTCCAGGAAACAAATGGAAGTCAGTGATGTCTTCATAAAGCACGGAAACATGATGTGTGTATGTATGTAGGTAGGTGTGTGTGCGTGCGCGCGCGTGTGTGTGTGCGTGTGTGCATGCGCACGCGCGTGTGTGTGTGTTTGCGTGTGTGTGTGCGTGTGTGTGTGTTTGCGTGTGTGTGTGCGTGTGTGTGTGTGTGTGCGTGTGTGTGTGCGCGTGTGTGTGTGCGTGTGTGTGTGCGTGTGTGTGTTGTGAGCCCAGTCCTAATGGGTGTAATGAGTTTCACCTTTACCATGATTCATTCAGGAAGCAGCAAATCAAGCACAAATAACACACTATTAAAGCTTATAAAGACGAGTGTTCTCCTTCACAAAGACGACAAACAAAAGCTCAGTCCTCCTCTGACAAACACACACTCACATATTAGACATTCTCTTCACTGAGCCAAATATGTGTCTCTATGAATACTACAAAAGTTTAGCAAATAGTAGAAATAAAACTTTTTGCCAGCTCTTTTCTCCCAGGTGCACGCTCTGTCTTTTTATTCTAATGTTTCTGTTAATTAGTGTCACCTTCACCTGCACAAGGTGAAGAGAGCAGCCGCCAGATAGCACCCAGCTGAGACTCCTAACACCTGCAGGGTGTGTATCAGAGGATAACACCTGCAGGGTTAAACCAGAATAACACCTGCACCATCTCAACCACCGACTGTATATCAGGACATAGCTAACGCCTTAGCCGCCGCAGTCCAAACAGGAAGTGAGCAGCGGCGTGGGATTTGAACATTAATAACAGACCAATCAGGTGCCTTCTTTCCTTCAGGTCACTAGTGTTAGCAACAGGTTTGATTGACAGTAGTGCAGGCAGGAATGGGTGATACCTTCAACAACCTCACTCTTAACTGGCTCTTTTGTTGCTGTGATACTTGCAGCCGGAGTTTCAAATATGGAATTTGGCTTCAAATTGACTTGCAGCTCTGATGAGCTTCATTTGACTAGAGCTGGATTGAATATGTCTCACTTCCTCAGTCCACTTCTTCATCCTTTCTATGGTCTGTGCCAGGAGAACACCTGCAGGGTCTGTGCCAGGAGAACACCTGCAGGGTCTGAGTCAGAAAAAGAGCTTTAACAACAGTTTTAACAGAGTTTGAGGCATCATTACTCATGGGGTCAGTAGCGTGGTCACACACAGGTTAGAGGAGTCAGGAGAGTTCTCTTCATCCCCATGTCTGATGATCACACTGACCCTGGGTCAGCAGAGTGAGTGAGTCTGGGCAGAATACAGCCCCACAGCAGAGGCTGTTTGCTCCGCTGAAGAGTTTACAGTCTGCTTTGTGCTGTGATTGGATTGTGTACACTCCAGTCCAAAAGCTGCAAAGCACAGTGTACATGAGTCTGCCCCTCCCTGAGAGAAGCTGCTGGAGGCTCCACTGATCACTGACCTCATGTGTGCTGACCTGTGGGACCCTCTTTCCTTGTATCTTCCACTCGTCTGGAAGAAACCCTCTCCCAGCACGATGCATGGGCACATCTATATCCTGTGTCCTCACTTCATCCTCCCTCTGTCCTCAGCACATCTACATCTGCTCTAGGCTGCTTTAGACCTGCTTTAGACCTGCTTTAGACCTGGTTTAGTCCTGGTTTAGTCCTGGTTTAGTCCTGGTTAATCTTCACTACACATATAATTATCTAGAGTGATATTCAGAATAAAAAAGTACTCTATTTTTTAAAGGTACACTTCATCAGTCTCAGAGACCAGTGTCAGTGGAGCAGCCTGTCAGAAACACTGAGATCTGCTGCACACATCCTCAGTCTTGGGCAGGGCAGTTTTAGCTGGAGGACTTGACCTATGGTAGATGTTTGATAATTTAAGTCAGTCTGGGAACAAAAAAACATTTACATTTCTAATTCATCCAGAGAGCTTTCACATCCCCTGCAGAAAATATAGAAAAATCCACACACCAGCGCTGACTGTAGACTATTATTCAAACAAGTGAATCATTAATATCTAATCTCATAAAGCACAAAGAGCCTGCAGGTGCTCAGATGGCGCCGGGCCCTGCACTCTGATGGTGCTACAAAGGCAGTGGTTTGGAGGGTAAACATGCACAGGGACGGCAGAGTACACAGTGTTGAGTTATGGACTTAATAAGAGTGAGAGGAGCAGCAGCAGAGGAAGATCTGACACATGTACACAAACACACACACAACACACACACACACACACACACACACACACACACACACACACACACACACACACACACTGCAGCCCTTTGTGATGTAGAGCAGTGCTTTTGTTCACATGCCTTTTATTACACATCACTCACATAGAGGAGTTAGTTCTGTTATATATTGATACTTTGCAGCTGATATCAACATTCTCTGGGGGTGTGATGCTAACTAGAGGCACTACTATGTCTGAAGCTCTGTTACTCAAGTTAGAATTTAACTGAAGCTTAGTTTTAACAAAGTCGCAGCTGCATGGCTTAAGTTACAAAAGATACAGTCTAAGGGCCATATCTTGCCCCCAGTTTTAGCGCTAGTCCAAGTGGGCGTGTCCAGGTTGGGCTGTACTTCGCTGCTGGAGACTGGAGTGGGACGGTACAAGTACATATATGGTGACAGCATCTGAACCAATCTGTGACGCTGTGCCATTTAAAAGCACTGCCAGTGTGGGTAATATCGTGATCTTTGCCTCATTATCAGGCAAAGTGGAGTGTGGGGAAAAGTTCTGTATGTGACAATAAAACAGCTCCAGATCCTCACGATGCAAATACAAACCAGCAGAGGCACCAGGAATATACAATTTTGTATGGGCCATGACACAACTGACTGGGTTTGTGTTACGAACAATCCGCAGGCATGTGCGCCCCTCTCATGCACGTGCACCGTGCATCAACATCAACCTTTGTTTAAAGATCAGTGTCTGTCTCATGCTCCCATCCCACAGCAGACCCACTGCTTTCTCACACCTGTTCCTGTCTGTCCCACAGTCCACTCCCACAGACTCACCTGAGGCACGAGTGTCCACCTCTGCTGCTGCTGACCGCTCTCATTCTCATCTCTCAGGTACAATGCATTTGGTCCCACACAGGTGGATGTCTCGTGGATTATGGAATATGTTTATTGTCATTTAAATGTTTTGCTTTTCGCACAGATATGATACGTGCGTCTGCTCTGCTGTCACAGCCCCGAGCTGTCAGTGAATGTGTGAGACCGGCAGCGAGAATGTGAATAAATTGATATCGCAGCATTATGACACAGACAGAGTAAGAAAACACTCTTTAGGACATCACTGTAAACAGCCTCATGTGAATGAGCAGCTTTTGTACAGATCCAGATCAAACCAAACTACAGAGCAGAGCTGAGCTGATACAGGGAGCGGGCGAGGGGCTGTGCTCTACTGTGGGAGGGCATCCGGACGACTCCCACACAGCACAGGAACATGTTAGGAATGTTAAGCTTTTATCATTTTAATATATTTCCAGATAAAAGAAGCCTTGAGCATGTTACATGTTGTTTTCAGTGGACTTGTTTAATATTTATTTTTATGATTCTGGTAATTCACTAAATGCATCACACCACACCTGGTCAGTCTGCTCCACTCCCCCTGATGTTCACGCAGGGCACACCTCTGGTTTAGAGCTCCACGCCTCGCACTTGCCCTAGCGCTAAGACTGGGGCCAAGATACGGCCCTAGATTATGTAATTAATATTTGATTTATTTGTAGAGAATGCTGTTCAAACGTGGGACTGGGTGTATATTTTAATGACTTTTCAGCGGTTAAACCGCATCATGTGGACTCCTGGTTGATCAGAGCATGTTGATGTGTTGTTAATATGATGTTCAGGTAGAAGCACATGCCACACTGTTGACGTTGTTCTTGCTTGTCTCTTCTTTAAAGACAAAAACAGCACACACACACACAAGGTCCACACTGTCACCAGCCCCTGTCACCTTTGTCTCTTTTTGTATGTCATCTTTGTAATCATAATCATAATGTCTGTCTTGTATCTTGTATGTTGTTTGGTTCCTTTTGTGATGTTGTTGTAATGTATGTAGTTTTCAAATAAAATTATTAATAATAAAAAATAAATAAAAATAGCAAACGTACAGCAAAAACAGCAGAAGCCCACCCAGACACAGGCAGAACATGTAAACCACAGGATTTTTTAACACACACGTTTCTTACCTGTAAATCACCTCTTAGAAACCAGCAGTACTGCCTACAGCTACATAACCTGTTCCCCACGCACGCCCGTTCTCCCGCAAGCCTCGTAAATTTTCTTTATCTGCTCCATTCCTCGCGCTTCCATCCGTACAACCTCCCACCTCCCCTCCTCCCCCCGTTCCCGCCCCCCCGTCCCCCGCCCACAGTGCGTTAAGCCCGCAATCGAGGAATAAATATGCCTCATTAAAAGTGCGGATATGAAATTGATCTGTTCTGATCGGAGGAGCGTTGGGAAAGCAGGGGCGAGGAGAGGGGGATTCTGGGGGATTCGTCAGCTTTACGAGGCGTTGCGCTGCTTTTATGGACGGCGAAGAGGAGTTATGGATTTACGATGAAGACGGCGGAGGAGGAGAGGAGCTGTGACATGAAGAACAGATGTGGAGATGGAGGAGGGGAAACACAGCAATTAGAACGATCCATATTATTTAAAAAGTGGGAATGGCCTGAAATGACTTATCCATGAGCAGTGGCTACACCCCGAGCTCCTGCGTGGTGAGCGACCTCCACACTCTGTCACTAAAGGTGGGCCCACAGACTGTGAGAAGGAAGTTCACTGAACCACTGTAGTGGTCATTACCCAAAGCTCCTGAGCATCATGAGAGGACGAACACAGACTTAAACCAAGTGCCATAGGTGACACCACAACAGTCTGATACACCTGCCACATGACTGATATTACAATCATTTGATTATTAGAGGATATTTGGAACAGAAATATGTTTTCAGTCTGTCTAATCAAACATAAATGTTTTATGTGTATGTTTATGTCACATTAACCTTTATAATTCAGAATGTTTGATTTCATCCAAATGAAAAAAAGGATGTCCCTGTTGTTTTTGTCATGGTGTCCATAATTGTAACCTGCCAAATGCCAGACTGATATGAACTAATAAGGTTAGTGCTGTAATATCAGTCCTGGAATGATTCCCGTAGGTGCCATGGGAAAGAGGAGGGTCTCTTTATCCACACACTTAATAAAACCAGGATGTTTCTTTTCAGTCATGGCCACACAGAATGTTGATATAGTCACATCCCTACGAGTAACAAGCTCTGATCTGATTGTGAGTCACTACTTCAATTAAAACTGAGAGCTCTGTGAAATGATCTAACGCTCCGTCCTCCATGTTTGTGTAGCTCCTGTATCATCGCCTTCACACGGCTCAGTCTGTTTACAGGTGTCACTCTGAACATGCTGTCAAATGAACCCCTGACCCCTTCATCTGTGTAATCCCCCCCCTCCTCCCGTCTGCACATGCTCAGAAGCGCACGTGGAGCCCGAGCTAGCATTAGCCTAGCCGTGTTAGCCTGTGCAGCAGATGTGTGTGTCATTAACCTTGAGTGTAGACACAGTTCTGGCCCATTGTCTCTCACCTTCACAAACAAACAGGACCGCGGGCTCTGCTAACACCAGCTTCAACACAAGCAGCACGCTCTACTGGGAGCACTTAGTGATAAAGTGGTACAGAAAAAGGATGTGTTTATTGCTGCACATTTCTATCCTTTTGGCTCGCACTGCATGATGGGAAGAGCGAAACATAAAAACAAGCTCATTTTGGCGAAATGATGCTATGCAAATAGCTTTGTAGTGAAGGCATCTGAATGAGTCCATGAGCGTCTACGGCCTTCATATGTTTCTCAAAAGACACGTAACTGCATCATAACTCCTGTTCAATAACAGCTTGATTAACCAGGAAACAAAAAGGTTTTTTCTCATAAGACTGGAGTTTGTCAGGTAGTGTAAGGAAGTTCAGGTCCTGAGCTTTTCCAGTGAGAGTGAAGTGGAACTAAACACCTAAACCCTAAAACCCTCAAACAGAGCTGCCCTGCACAGCAAGATGGATCTGCCCAATCACAGAGCTTCTGTAGCAGGGGGAGGAGCTTCAGGAAACATGACGACCACCCCAAACTCCAAGTCTACATGGAGCAAAACAAACATGGCTGTGGCAGACAGCTTACACTCTTAATGTGCAAATTTGTATTGGAAAAACGACAAAATGAGTTTGTCAAAATCTTCCCTCTCCAGTATTACACCTGGAGCAAGTCGAATATGTCATTTTTACAGGTTTGGCTGAAAAAAAAAAAAGAAAAAGGTGAGTGGGCACTTCGGGGGAGTTTGCTCAATCAGTTCAAGTCATTCTGCTACAAGTCCGTTCTTTTTTGTTTTAGAGGTTTTTAGAGGTTTCGTCATTCATTTTAGAGGTTTAAGGAACAGTGTGATTGGTCTAACAGGTATCCACACTTCAAACTCCACCCCTACAGCCATGTTGTATCAGAAACAGCTGGTTGTGATCAGAGCAGTCCTGAGTGATGTCACCAAGTACAAGTATAAGGCCACTAGAGGCATCAGAAAGTTTTGGCAGAAAGTTGCAAATATATTACCTAGCAAACCAGGCTGATATTTCGGTATTGAAAAAAAAAGTTGCTCCTCTCTCTGTGACTGCTGCTGTCAGGTTCATTTTTTGGGCCTTAAAATGTACTAACTCACTCTACATGATCCTGGGATTTTTATTTTGCTACTTGTTTGTTAATAAATTCCTATTCCTAATATGGAACTCTGCTCCAAATTTGCTCCTATAACTGCCAGCGTCGATGAGCTTAATTTGACTGGAGCAGAGTGCTGTGGGTGACGTCACACTCCCTTGGTCCACTCCCTTATCCAGTCTATGGTTAGTGGTTAATATAAACAGAAGTAAAATGTCTGGTCTTTAGTGTAAGTCAGAACATGGGACAGGAGCCAGAGGACAGTGTGAATACCTGTTTACAGAATATCACTGTAAAGACATAGAACTTTTTTATGTATAAAGTAAATTTGTCATAAGTGTTTCCCTGCAGTGGGTGTGTTTGTTTTGAGCGTGGGTGCGTCCCTGTGCTGACCTGTACCTCCTCCTGGTCCTCGCCCACCTCCAGCGCCACGGCGACCGAAGCGAAGGGGCGGCTGGCCATCTGCTGCCGTTCCCTCATCAGCGCCTGGAAGACACAGGAGAGATATGTGAGTGTGGAGACACCAGTGAGTGAGGAGGAGGTGCTCTGCTCCACAGGCTGATCCAGGTTTGGTTTAACTCCCCTCAAATGATCATCTCACTGTGACTGACCATGTACTTTTTCTTTTTGTGTTTCAAAGAATTACCACTGCTTCAGTGCTTCACTGCTCAGCTGACCCCAGACATCACTCCCTCCAGTGTAATGTACCTGTAAGAACTCTAACCAATCTCCATGACAATCACAATAGTACTAGACCTTCCCCAACCATCTCAGCGGCACACGGTTCTCACTCAAACCCACAATGAGCAGGTCTCCCTGGTGCCCCACAGTTTATGTTCACATGCACCAAAACTTTATTATTGTCTGATTTCTGGACAATTAATAGGATTCAAATGGCATGTAACCCACACAGTCTTACAGGAGATCAGATGGACCATGGTCAAACAGAAATCTGGTGATTTTGCTCTTCACATGTCATTGTAATAATCCAAGAACTCCAAAAACCCAATAACCTCATAATCAGATTTAGAGTGAGTTTTGTACATGAGGTTGTAGCATCAGTGCTAATTTCCACCTGTCGTCCCTGGACAGGTTCATTGATTGATTGTATTAAACTGACCTTGACTATCAACTGTTCTTGGAGACCTGGAGTATGTTTTGGGTTGATGGGAGAGACCACAGCACCCAGAGAAACCCATCCAGACACAGGGAGAAACATGCAAACTCCACACAGAAAGGCCCGGGCGACACGGGGATCAAACCCAGAACCTTCTTGCTGTGAGGCATGAGTGCTAAACACTCAGCCACCGTGCCACCAGTTACAAGTGGAGTTACTTACTACATCATGAGAAAAAAGCGGTAAAAAGCAGATGCAGTGAGTTTTGTGTCTCTTATGGGTGCTTTGCGGACGCTGTGAGTTTACTCCTGGGATCAAATGAATATGCAAATTAATATTTGGCCAAAATGTACAAAAAAAGAAGAAGGAGAAAATGCAGATGAAGTTGTTTAGCGGTCACTGCTTGAATTATCAAGATGACGAGAGCAAAGACGTTACGCATGTTTACTACGCTGGAAAGACTGTTCCAGTTTCTGCAACAGTGCATTAAAAGTGGTGTTCAGTAAAAGTGCTAATTTACAAACTGAAATGAAGGAGGGAGGAGGGACAGTCCACACGGTGTACGAGTTGAAGTGCACCTGTTGCTGGGTGCGGATCTATAATGTGTGGCAGTCTGAATATTGTCTGCAGCTCTACAGGCTACAGTTAACATTTAGCCTGGGTTTCCAAACACGTCTCTCATACTCATGCATCAGCTGTTTGTCCTTTACAAAAGCAGCCCTTTCTGCAGGAGACATGAGCGGTAGTAGTTTGATAAGGTAGGTAAAAAATGAAAATTGAAGCTAGTTTTAATTGCGTTAGACTAAATTATTTAATACAACTGTGACAATAAACTCTCATTCACATATGAGAATTGCAGGTGGAAAAATAGGTGCAGTTTCTAATAGAAAATCAGGTGCAACACGCCCACAAAAAGCACAGAGTTTACACTTGTAATTTAGCACGTAATTTAGCATGCTTAGTAAATATACCCCATGAGTATTGTTTGTGTTGAAAACCTTCCCTGGAATCAGTTATCCAGAAAGATAAATAATACACTAACTAATATTTGTTAGGCTTCAGAGCCTTGGGTGTGTTTTGTGTGTGATTTTATGGCAAAGTCACAAAATAATTTTTGAAAAAGAAAATTTATTTTCAAATTATCAACACTGTTATATCATTTACTAAGATATGTTTTCCCCAAAAAAACAACTTTTACACTTTTACCAAGAGTACAGGATAGAAACAGATTAGTTAGAGATAATTAGAGCAGTTTGCCTGGAGGTTTGTGCTGTTGTGGGGCTGGGTCAAGTTCTCCAAGCCAGTTCTTCTGGAGCTCTCAGAGGTTTACACAATTGGAAAATGAGTCTGAGTGAGTTTAAGAAATGCCAAACCACAAATGAGTCATGAGGATATTTTGGCATCAACATCCACAGAGGCATTGTTGTAGGTCCAGTGTGATCAGCAGCTTCAGCCAGAATGAGACATCACGTTTATTTGATGTGACTCTTTCCTGAAAGTTGTAGAGCAGAAGGATGTTTCACACTGGGGGTAAGAGAGCAGATATGAGAGTGTGTGAGTGTATGTGCGAGGGTGTGAGAGGGTGTGAGTGTGTCAGTGTGTGAGAGTGTGTGAGAGCGTATGAGAGAGCGTATGAGAGGGTGTGAGAGTGTGTGAGTGTGTCAGTGTGTGTGAGCGTGAGTGTGTCAGTGTGTGAGAGCGTGTGAGAGGGTCTGAGTATGTGAATGGGTGTGTGTGAGAGAGGATGTGTGAGCGTGATAGTGTGTGAAAGCATGTGGGTGTGAGTGTGTGAGGGGGTGTGAGAGGGTGTGTGTGTTTGAGAGTGTGTGAGGGTCTGTGAAGGTGTGAGAGGGTGTGACAGTGTGTCAAAGCATGTGAGAGTGTGCAAGAGTGTGAGAGAGCATATGAGAGTGTGTGAAAGCGTGTGAGAGTGTGTGAAAGTGTAAGAGTGTATGAGAACGTGTGAGTGTGTGAGAGAGAGTGAGAGAGAGTGAGTGTGTGAGAGAGAGTGAGTGTGTGAGAGAGTGTGTGTGAGAGAGTGTGAGCGTGTGAGAGAGTGTGAGTGTGTGAGAGAGTGTGAGCGTGTGAGAGAGTGTGAGCGTGTGAGAGAGTGTGAGCGTGTGAGAGAGAGTGTGAGTGTGAGCGTGTGAGAGAGTGTGAGCGTGTGAGAGAGTGTGAGCGTGTGAGAGAGTGTGTGAGTGTGTGAGAGAGTGAGTGTGAGAGAGTGTGTGTGAGAGAGTGTGAGTGTGTGAGAGAGAGTGAGTGTGTGAGAGAGTGTGAGTGTGTGAGAGAGTGTGAGCGTGTGAGAGAGTGTGAGTGTGAGAGAGTGTGAGCGTGTGAGAGAGTGTGAGTGTTTGAGAGAGTGTGAGCGTGTGAGAGAGTGTGAGTGTGAGAGAGTGTGAGCGTGTGAGAGAGAGTGAGCGTGTGAGAGAGTGTGAGTGTGTGAGAGAGTGTGAGTGTGTGTGAGAGAGTGTGAGCGTGTGAGAGAGAGTGAGCGTGTGAGAGAGTGTGAGTGTGTGAGAGAGTGTGAGCGTGTGAGAGAGTGTGAGCGTGTGAGAGAGTGTGAGCGTGTGAGAGAGTGTGAGTGTGTGAGAGAGTGTGAGCGTGTGAGAGAGTGAGTGTGTGTGAGAGAGTGAGTGTGTGTGAGAGAGTGTGAGCGTGTGAGAGAGTGTATACATGAGGAAGTGTCAGACGGACAGAGGCTGAGAGAGGCCTGCTCACACACACACATACACACAACCTGCTCACACACACACACACATCACACACACACACACACGACCTGCTACACACACACACACACATACACACGACCTGCTCACACACACACATACACACGACCTGCTCACACACACACATACACACGACCTGCTCACACACACACATACACACGACCTGCTCACACACACACATACACACAACCTGCTCACACACACACATACACACGACCTGCTCACACACACACATACACACAACCCGCACACACACACATACACACAACCTGCTCACACACACACACACATCACACACACACACACAACCTGCTACACACACACACACACATACACACAACCTGCTCACACACACATACACACACCTGCTCACACACACACACACGACCTGCTCACACACACACACACACACACACACACACATACACACGACCTGCTCACACACACACATACACACGACCTGCTCACACACACACATACACACGAACCTGCTCACACACACACACACACACACATACACACACACACAACCTGCTCACACACACACACACACACACACCCTGATCACACACACACATACACACGACCTGCTCACACACACACACACACATACACACAACCTGCTCACACACACACATACACACAACCTGCTCACACACACACATACACACAACCTGATCACACACACACATACACACAACCTGCTCACACACACACACACATACACACGACCTGCTCACACACACACACACACATACACACGACCTGCTCACACACACACACACACACACACACACACACACACACACACACACACACACACACACACACACATACACACACACCTTGGCTCTATCACATATAGACATGGGACAATGGCGATATTCATACATTCATTCACTCTGTTCATTTTAATAAGAATGGAAATATGAAGAGTCTTTTCTTTCATTATCCAACAGTAGGACAGAGGTAAGCTGCAGTAGAGCATTTTTGATTTTGTGGTAACATTACCATTTATATTTCACATATACTGTAGTAAAAATAATAATAATAAATCAACTAAATTTCCCACTGAGCTATTTAAAATATTTTAAATAATTAAACAGGCGGTCCTCTGCCTTCCCTGGATGAATCCACATCACGACAATTAACTTTCACGTCTACCTTTTGTGTTTACACAAATGAATAAATCAATAAATACAAGCTCAAGACCTTTCAGAAGAAATACTTAGAGGGAATGAACCATTTCATCACTAACTGAAACACCAGAGAGGAGTAAGAGCGAGGCCTTTCCTCTTGTGTTTAACAGGCTCACCCTGGACACTGCTGTGATTCTGCAGGACACAGAGGAGGGACACTTTTGTCCTGAGGGTTCTACTTCCTCTCAAACTGCCCTGACACAAACCTGCTGACCCTCCCTGGCCAGTCATCCTGTTAAACTCACCTGAGACCTTTGACTGAGACACAAAGGGAATGAGACGTGGAGTGGAAATGTTGCTCCAAGCAAAGCTAGAATTTCCCTCTGAATCAATAAAGTAAATAAAGTAAATAGAGTAAATAAATCTCTCTGCAGTGTTGGGAAGTTTACTTTTAAAATGTAATCCCCTACAGATTACAAATTACATACCCCAAAATGT